ATAAATCTTAATATTATTTCTATTAATCATCAATATTCAGGAATCTCAAAAAGCACCATATGTGTCTTTTGATCCTAAATATGGACGTGAAATTGTTCCTGTTCGAGTAAATGATTTTTCTTGTATGATAAAAGAAATTTTTTTGTTTTCATATAAAACATCATAGAATCCTATTGGTCCACAAAGTGAATATCAACAACAATATCACTGGAAACAACCCTTAGGAGATTTAGTTAGCGAACAAATGCTTATTGATGAGTCAAAAGTGGTTCGTTTTTGTAAATTTAAATTCAAAATAAAATTTCTTTTATTTAGCGTGATCGACGTTCAGATCCAGCATTACCATTAACAGTGATTGATCCATCTGAAAAAATTCTTCGTGAAAAAACTTCTGTTGCTGTTAATACACCAGCACGTGTTGAAATTGATTTTGATAAACCTAAACAACAAGTAAATCGTATTGTAACCGGTCCAATAAGTTCAATTCAATTAAAAAATGATAAAATATCTGAATATCAATCACGTTATAAACCAATAGTTAATCAAAAAAAACCTCGAACACGTAAAGCATTTGAAGCTGAACAAGCTGATGAACGAGTAAATTATTTCGAATGAAATAAATTTTTGTTTTTTTTTTCTTCTTCAATTAAAATTTTATTTCATAGAAACGAAAAGAAATTGCTAAAGCTGAACATGCTCATACAGATGATGAAGGTATTGATTTAGGAAAAGAATTTCATCATAAACATTCACATGGAAATTTAAGGTTTGAATAAATAATTTCAAATATGAAAAAAACAAAAATAAGAGTTTTTTTTTTAAATTAAAATCTTTTCAGACGTTGGAAATCTGAATATCAAACAACATATAAACCTTTTTGGCGTTTTGATTTTAAAAATGGCAAATGGTATAAAGATGCTGCAACAGTTAGTAATTAAAATTTCATGTTTGATTTTATGTTTGTGTGTGTGTTTATTCATGTAGGAAGAATCAGGTTTTAATCCAAATTTATTTTGGTATAAAGAATTAATGTCAACACGAAAACGAGCTGATGAATATCGTGCTAATGCACAAGCTGATCATTTTAATCGTGATCATACATTACAATTACAAACAGGTTATGGTGGAACAAAAAGTTTTCTTGCATGGGATACAAATGATGATAATGATACTGATAGTATTATTTCTATTGATCGGTAAATAATGAAAATAAATTATTCAAAATAAACAAAAAAAAAAAATTTCTTTTATTTTCATTTCTTTTATTTAGTAGTTTAGAACGTCAACGTCAACGTGAAAGAGAAATTCAACGACAAATTGATGAACGTATTCAATCAAAAATTCATTATCAAAATAAACAATATGAACGACCATCAGTTCCAAAAACTGATCAAATAGCACAAACTGATCATCAAGTTGATCGTATTGTTTATATTGATGAACCAATACCAAAAGTACCAAGTGTTGCAACAAAAGCACTTGTACGTAATTTAAATTCATCATCTGTTCAACAAAATATGTCATGGGATGCAGAAAGTTTATATAGTCAACGAACAAATTCGGATATGTTTGTATTTGAAATATATGTTTTTTTTTTTAATTTTGTTGTTTTTTTTTGTAATAGAGATTTTAAATCAAAGACTGCTCGAGATTTACATCGAAAACATTATATAAATGATGAATCAAATATTATTCGAAAAGCATCACCAATAAAACAAGACAATCGTGGTACAGATATGCATCCACCATTGATCAATGAACGACAACAAACAAGTAAGATTAAAGATTAAAAAAAAATCAACAATTTTTTTAAAGAAATCAAAACTTATGTCTAGACAATATTTATACATCACCACAGACAAATGAACGAAAAATTCAAGTAAAAAAAAAAGCAATAAATCTTCGTTCAATTATTTTTATATTCTTTTGTTTTTCTTGAAATCTAGCAAAATGATATTATTCGTCCATCAACAAGTTTTCAGGAAAGACGACATGCTGCTGGTCAATCAAGTTATGATACACATATATTTGATAAACGTCTACCTATACGACCTCATACAAGCATGAGTGATTGTTAGTATTTTCAATTTCTCTTTTTTTATTTTTATTATGTTTTATGAACATTTTTCCTTTAGGTCATTCATGTCATGGTAATCGATATAAAGATAAAATAACAGATAATAATAATGAGAATTATCAACAAGAATATACACCAGCATCAAAAACATCATTTCAAGCTCATTTGAATAGATTAGATGAACGTTTTGGACAGAATTTTAATGCACGTTATAAAGGTAAAATTATATAGAATAATAATTAATTTTGTATTTTTTACTTTTTAAATAGATGATGATATTCTTTCGACTAATTCTGCTCGATCATTATCATCAAGTTGTAGTTTAGCATCTCAAACACTTGAACGTGCTCAACAAAATATGAATAAATATTGGGGTGATCATTCACCTAAAAAACCATCGCGTGTCAAACATTGATTAAAAGATTAATATAAAAACAAAGACAGTATTAAAAAAATTGTGTGTCTTTTTTTTTTCATGTATTAGAATTATATTCTTTATCGTCTCTTTTTTGTTTTTGTATACATTTGCTCGCGATTAATATTCTTGCTAATGTTACTCATTGTTTTCTATTTGTTTTTTCGTGTGACTTGTTGTTTTTCATAGTACTCTACAGTAGATTTGTGATATAGTAAGCTATACACAAGGAAAATAAATGAAATTCATTTTTTAGCAAGGGACAAAGAATAGATTTCTTGTTTCTTAAATTTGAAAAGAGTGTGAGTGTGGGTGTAGTTTTGTATTCTGAATATGAAGAAAAGAATGCGAGAGTGAAAAGCACCATATCATTATTCTTCTTTCTTTTTTTTCTTTCCTATAGTAATAGATGTGTTGTTATAAACATTCAGATATATATTTGATAATTAAAGATTCTGCGATACTTGAATTGTACTAGTTTCGTTCCATATTGTTGACAGAAGAACATAACAGGATAGTAGTTCTTATGAGGAAAAAAGTCATTTTCGTCAATCAGTTGATAATAAACTTGTATAATAACAGATGTAAAAATGTACAGACAGATCAGGATATCTATCATTAATACAGTTAGAGATGGCCAAAATAATTAGTTAGCTCGGATTCCAAAGTCATCTTATCTTCTTATTAAAAATCAGTGAAAAGTACATGGTTTCCATCTAACACGTCTTCTGAAGGCTAAAAGAGTGAGATTTGCTTTATTAAATATTCTCTCGTAGTATTTTCAACTTTATACTGTTGATCATATGCCGGTGTTCAAAGATGAAACACTATTCTTTAAGAAATATCATAGCGCCACAAATATGAAGAAAGAATTGGCAAAAAAAATTCTTCACTTAGCGTTAGGCATAGACGCCTGATGGTCGTGCCTCGTTTTTTTGGAGTGCCGTGTATATTTCTCGTGAGGATTAGAGTCTATCGTGGACGTATTATTTTTTTTGAACTTGAACTCGATCAATTCAACTATATTCATTATCGAACTAAGTCTTGTACTTTCAATAGAGCCTATCAGATTCGGATCGACAATGAACTCAATGGATTACTTTTTAGTATATACAATGATAATTCAATACAGTTGTTATAGGAAATAAGAATTTTATGCTTGTTCTAGCAATTTAAAAAAAAAAGTAGAAATTTTCGTTTCGAATAAAACGAATAGAAATCAACAAATTCGATTAAATTTATTATTCTTATCGAAGGTTGTCTTATATCGAAAACCAGCAGAATTCATTTCTGAATCTAGGATCAATTTGATGAACTCTATTGTAGATTCACAATGTCTATATCGCATAGACCTCTAAAGTTTTGTTAACAGTTATTTTGTTCGAATTTCATATAAAATCATCTGAAGCAAAAACTTAGCGCCTAATTGTTAAAGAAAAAACAAAAGATGTCGTTTTATGAATGAAAAAGAAAAGGAAGATGAGGATTGTTCCTTGGCAATATATTATTTCTGACGGTGGTTGTCAATAAACAGTATAAAGAAAGAAAAAAAGAATATGTCACTTATGTAAAATTGCAACACTCTCAACAAGTTGACAATAAATAATGGCTGTAGACACATTATCTCGGCGTGAAACGAATGCTCGAGTACGTCCAGCTGGACATTTAGAAACTGATGGTTTTACTGTGAAATCTCTTCAAAAAAATGCTAAAGTATATGTTTATTTTATGTTTATATAATTAAATTTTTTTTTTCTTATGAATTATATGTAGATAAATACTCCACCATCAGCAGAATCAACACGTATTCGTAATAGCAAACCAACTGCTTTTCGTAAATTTTATGAACGTGGTGATTTTCCAATTGCTCTTGAACATGATACAAAAGGAAATAAAATTGCTTGGAAGGTATTTAGAAAAAAGAAAAGAATATCTTTATATTTAATATTCTATATATGATTAAATTAGGTAGAAGTTGAAAAACTTGATTATCATCATTATTTACCATTATTTTTTGATGGTCTTTGTGAAACTGAACATCCATATGATTTTTTTGCTCGTCAAGGTATTCATGATATGTTAGAACATGGCGGAATTAAAATTTTACCTGTTATTCCACAACTTATTGTACCAATTAAAAGTAAAATTTATTAAATATAAATTTTACAAATAACATTTTGTTTTTATTATATTTTAGATGCATTAAATACAAGAAATCATAAAGTTATATGTACAACATTAAAAATTCTACAACAATTAGTTATGTCAGCTGATATGATTGGTGAAGCTCTTGTACCATATTATCGTCAAATTTTACCAATATTTAATTTATTTAAAAATTGGAATTGTAAGTAAATTTTCTTTATGTGTTCTTTTCTTAATGAATAAAAATTTTTCTTTTTTTTTCCAAAAAAAAAAAAGCTAATTTGGGTGATGGAATTGAATATGGTCAACAACGACGTGAAAATATTGGAGATTTAATAAATGAAACACTTGAAGCATTTGAACGACATGGTGGTGAAGATGCATTTATTAATATCAAGTATATATATATATAT